TTGATGAACCAGGTATTTAAGCTCTATTTGGATTCTTTTTTTTATTGTATTCATTGATAATATCTTGATCTACTCCCACGATCGAGAGGAGCATGAGCAGCATCTTCAGATTATATTTCAGACTTTAAGAGATAGTCAGTTATATGCCAAGTTGTCAAAGTGTGAGTTTTGGTTAGACTCGAACGCCTTTTAGGGAATATTGTATCGGCCGAGGGCATAAAAGTGGATCCAAAGAAGATTGAGGTGGTTCAAAACTAGCCTAGACCTACTTCAACTACAGAGATTGTGAGTTGACCTTTCAGAAGCTCAAGACTGCCTTAAATACAGCACAATGTTGGTGTTGCCCACAGGTTCAGGATCCTACACGGTGTATTGTGATGCATCGTGTGATGGGTTTGGTGCAGTATTGATGGAGGATGGTAAGGTGATTATATACGTGTCACGGCAGTTGAAGGTTCATGAGAAGAATTACCATGTTCATAACTTATAGTTGACAACCATTGTTCATACACTGAAGATTTGGAGGCATTACCTCTACGGCTTGTTATGTGAGGTATTATAGATCATCAGAGTCTATAGTATTTGTTCAAGTAAAAGGATCTCAATCTGAGGTAGCGAAGGTGGTTGGAGCTGTTGAAAGGCTATAATATCACCATTTTGTATCATCTCGAGAAGGCCAATGTGGTGGCCGATGCTTTGAGTAGAAAGGTTGTGAGTATGGATAGCCTTGCGTATATTCCAGTTGGTGAGAAGCCGCTAACATCAGATTTTTACGCTATTGCCAATCAGTTCGTGAGGTTAGATGTTTTGGAGCCTAGTCGGGTTCTAACTTGCACAGTCTCTCGGTCTTCTTTGTATGAGCACATTAGAGAGCGTCAATATGACAACCCCCATTTGCTTTTACTTAAGGACACGGTGTGGCACAGTGGTGCCAAGCAGGTTACTATCGGAGATGATGGGGTGTTGCGGATGCAGGGTTGGATTTGTGCGCCCAATGTGGATGGGCTTCGTGAGTTGATTCTTCAGGAGGCCCACAGTTTGCGGTATTTCATTCATTCGAGTGCCGCCAAGATGTATTAGGATTTTAGGAAGCATTATTGGTGAAGAAGAATGAAGAAGAATATAGTTGCATATGTAGCTCTATGTTTGAATTGCCAACAAGTAAAGTACGAGGATCAGAGGCCCAACGGTTTACCTTAGAAACTCGAGATTCCCCAATGGAAGTGGGAGCACATTATCATGGATTTTATTATTGGGCTTCCGCGGACTTTGAAGAAATTTGATGCGATATGGGTCGTTGTGGACAGGTTGACTAAGTCGGTACATTTCCTTCCAGTAGAAGTTACTGATTCTTCAGAGCGTTGGCTGAGATCTACATCAGCGAGATCGTCTGTCTTCACAGTTTGCCAGTGTCCATCATTTTTGATCGGGGTACGCAATTCACATCGCACTTCTGGAGGGTCGTACATCGTGAGTTAGGCATACCGGTTGAGTAGAGTACAACATTTCACCCTCAGATTGACAAACAGTGCGAGTGCACCATTCAGATATTGGAGAATATCCTTCGCACCTATGTTATGGATTTCGAGGGTTCTTAGGATTAGTTTATAGAACTTGTGGAGTTTTCCAACAGTTACCAATCGAGTACTTAGATGGCTCCTTTTGAGGAATTATATGGGAGGTGGTTATGTTCGCCAGTTGGTTGGTTTGAGCCAGGAGAGGCTCGATTGTTGGGTATCGATTTGGTTTAGGATGCCTTGAAAAAGGTCAAGATAATTAGGATCGACTTCGCACAGCTCAGTCTAGGCAAAAAAGTTATGCCGATTGTAGAGTCTGTGATGTTTCATTCATGGTTGGAGAGAGGGTTTTGCTTCCGGTTTCACCCATGAAGGGTGTGATGAGGTTTAGAAAGAAGGAAAAGTTAAACCCTAGGTATATCGGACCCTTTGAGATTCTTGAGAGGGTTGGTGAGGTGGCCTACAAGCTTTTACTACCACCTAACTTATCAGCATTTCACCCTGTGTTCCATGTCTCCATGCTCCGGAAGTATCACGGTGATACGTACCATGTATTAGATTTCACCTCAGTCAAATTGGACAAGGATTTGACTTACGAGGAGGAGTTAGTGGCCATTCTAGCACGGCACGTCCTAATGTTGAAATCTAAGAGTTATCCTTCTCTTAGAGTGCAGTGGAGAGGTCAGTTGATCGAGGCACCCACGTGGGAGTCCGAGTCCAAAATGTGGAGTAGAAACCCACACCTTTTCACCAGTCCAGGTACCTTTTCTATGTCCATTCAAGGATGAACGTTTGTTTTAGAGGTGGAAAATGTGATGATTAGATAGGTCATTTTGAGTTTTAGCTTTTATTTTTATGTTTTGAGACCTTGATTAGCTCCGTTTAGCATTCCCTGATTTGCGTGCGCAGTCCATATCTCATTTCAGAAAGTCTTTATGTAAAAAATTAAAAACAAATTGTGAATTTTTTGCCTTATTTGAGTTGGTTAAGGTGAACATTTTATGTAAATGGACCTAGATCAGTATTTTGATGGTCTTGGTGGGCCCGTTTCATGATTTGGCACTCAGTCGTATGCCCAGAACTGAATTCAAAAGATCCTAACTTGATTTGACGTGATTTGTTGAAAGCTAGTAATTTGAAGGTTTAAAGAATTTCGAGGTTTGTCCGTAGGTTGACTTTATAGCTACCGGGTTCAAATTTTAGTTCCTGGACTTGGTATAGGTTCATTTTACTATTACTGACTTGTTTGTAAAATTTGGTTCAAAACGGAGTTGATTTGACATGATTCGGATGCTTGGTTGTAAATTTGAAAGTTCTTACGTTTCATTACAAATTTCATACATTTTGATGTTCGATTCCTGGTTCTAGGTGTTACTTTGGTGTTTTGATCATTCCACCGAGTTCGTATGGTCTTATAACAATTGTGTGAATGTTTGGTTTGGAGCCCGAGGGGCTCGGGTGAGTTTTACGGGTTGTCAAAACAGAGTTGATTTGATATGATTCGGATGCTCGGTTGTAAATTTGAAAGTTCTTACGTTTCATTAAAAATTTCATACATTTTGATGTTCAATTCCTAGTTCTAGGTGTTATTTTGGTGTTTTGATCATTCCACCGAGTTCGTATGGTCTTACAACAATTGTGTGAATGTTTGGTTTGGAGCCCAAGGGGCTCAGGTGAGTTTCTGATAGACTACGGGTCATTTTTGGACTTAGAGGTTACAACTTCAGCTGGTTTTCTGATATCTGGTGCGCTGTTCTTCGCGATCATGAAGCTACTCTCGCGATCATGAAGGGTAACTTGGGTTGGGGTGGAATTCTTCATCGCGAACGCAATGGCTAGGTCGCGAATGTGAAGCGCTAGAGGAGTTATCCTTCGCGAACGCGACCAGCATCCCACGAACATGTAGGGATAAGGGGACCTGGGAAGGTACTTGACTGTTACTCTACGTGATTGTGAGCCCTGGCTCATGAACGCGAAGGCCAGGAGGGTGAAGCCTCCGCGAATGCATAAGGAGCATCACAAATGCGTAGGCCATTTTGGATGTTATGCATCGCGAATGCGTTAGGCCCTTTACGAACGCGAAGAAGGCTTAACACCCAGTGACTTAAATATCCCAAAGTCAGGATTTACCCATTTTTCACCATTTTCAAGTTTGAGCTCGGCCTAGAGGCGATTTTGAAGAGAAATTTCATCCCAACTTCATAGGTTAGTAGATTTTAACTTGTTTTCTTCCATGTCCATAAACATCCATTGATTTCTAACCTTTAATGTAATCTTTTTCATGGTAGAAATTAGGGATTTTGGTAGAAATTGAGAATTTTGAGAAATAGAGATCATATTTTGAAACTAATCACTTAATCCGGCTCGAGGCTGAATGGGTAATTGGGTTTGGTCTGAATCTCGAGTTTTGACCAAGTGAGCTCGGAGTTGAATTTTATTGACTTTTTCCAAAATCATTAAAGATTGAATCTTTTTCAATCGTGGATAGTTTCTAAAGCTTATTTTGTATTGTTTGAACTATATTTCGTTAGATTCGATTGGTTTGGAGGCGAATTTTAGAGGAAAAACTCTGGTTGAGCTTTAATTTGATTGCGGAGTGAGGTAAGTGTTGGATCTGACCTTGACTTTAGGGAATTAGGAATTTGTGAACTATGTGTTGTGTGGCTTATTTGAGAAAATGACATATATGTGAGGTGACTATTGTATATACGCCGTCAAGATATTTGTTTCCATGTTTTCTCGTTATTTCATGAATTATCTTATTCAATGCCTTAAGCTCTATTTGACTTCTATGTCGTACTTGTTATTTGTCATTTAATTATTCTTGTACTGAATTGTTCATCCCTTCCATGACTCCGCTCTTATTTGTTACTTGCCTTAACTGTTTTACTTGCACACCTTAATTGTCACATACTTTACTTGTCCTATTATTTTTGTAATATTTATTGCACCCTTTAATTAGTATGTAGCCCTTTATCGCCTTGCACCCTTACTCTAGATGTAGAAATTCTTGTAAATTTAGTTGTTGGATTGTTTTTGGTATCTGAAATTGATTGGGAATTGGGTTGCACGCAGCAACGAAAATCGAAAGATGATGAATTAAAATGGTGAAATAAGGGAGGATACTTGATACTGATAAATGATAATAACTAAAAATATTATCGACGAAACAGTGTCGGATGGCACTTCTTTGATCAACATGCCTCCGCACCTGTTATTAAGTAGTTGTATTGTGAAAAGGCCATGGCTACGGAGTTAAATTTTTATTTTTCTTCAACTTATTACTTGCTTTCCGAGTAATTTCTCAAGAACATACTCGATAAGTATATTTCTAGCATACATTATTAGAAAAGATGCATTGTTATTGAGATACGAGACATAAAATATTATAAAGAAAAAGTAATTTAAAAAAATAAAATATCTTACACAAGTAATACATTTGTAAATAAAATCTGTATGTATATAATAACCATACATATAATCTAGACAAGACGAAATTAATTTATCTTTATTCCTGAATTGGATATTATCACTTGACATACATCATTATTCGTACAACATAAAATAACGGAAAGAGGAAAAGAGGAAGGAAACATATCAATTATAGGATATCATAAATGTGTTACACAGTTTTGGAGTAGGTTGTTGCAATTGGACAATAGTGTTCTCTTTATACTCCAGTCCTGGGACCACATTGGAACGTGTTGAATGTCGCGAAATTACAATGACAGCAAAGTATGCAGTCACTACAGTCACTGTCGAATTTGCAAGATCTAAAACAAGTATTAAGTTGAGGGAGTAATCTCCTTTCCATCTCTGGGAGATCATAATTAATATCCCGTCCAGCCATTACTTGCATCTTTGATAACCACATCAAATTAACTGAAACATATCCCATTATAGTTATCAAAATTCAAATACAACATATATAACACTATAAAAAAAAAATTAAACTTCATAAACAAAAACATATGCGTGCATACAAATGCTGTAAATATTATAGTAATAGAGTTATAGCTAGAGATAAAGAGAGATAAATACTAACTAGTGGCTGCCATGAGAAGAATAGCGCAGATGGAACCAAGCTTAAGAAATGCCATTTTAGGAATCGTACTTTATGAAATTTTTGTGTGAGTATATTCTTGCTTTGCAATGTTGTAATTTATAGACCCCCTGCAATGTATTGGCATCTAGAATGGTTAGTAATAGTTCTATAATATTTTCCATGTGTTTTTGTAATATTTTATAAATATTTTTATGTTAAGCTTTTCCAGCGATGGATACTGTAATGAAATCTGTTATATTCTATCATTTTTCTCTCCTATTTCACAAAAAAATACGATCATACTTAATTCATAGAGTAGGTTGTGGAACACAATGCACATAAAATACAACCATATGTGATTTAAGATCCATTATTTATGGAAGATACATGTGAGCATCAGGTAAGATTTAGATCCATAGTAATTTTTTATTAAAAACAGTAACTAGAATATGTGGCTAAACCAACCATAACACACATTACTAAAGTGGTCATGTATATACTTTCCTTTTAAGGTACACAACACACACATATTATTTCAATTGAATATTGGCATTTTGTCATCAGCATTTTTTATTTAATTATATATAACATGTCTCATTTAAGCACTATGATTACTCGACAATATATATTTTATGTACCGCACATTTTTAGTCTAATTTTATCTTTGAATTTGATTGGTAACTCTAGTAAAGCGTCAAAATCCTATACATAAATTTTACACTTTTTAAAATAATTTAAATTTAAAATTGTCATTATA